TAATACACGAGTAATGTAAATTATGAGTATTTTTGTGTAAAATACACGAGTAATGTCGTATACAATACATAAATATTGTGGTATATAATATACGAGTAATGTAAAATATGAGTATTGTTGTGTACAATATATAAATATTGTTGTATATAATACACGAGTAATGTAAAATATGAGTATTGTTGTATATAATACACGAGTAATGTAAAATATGAGTATTGTTGTATATAATATACGAGTAGTGTAAAATATGAGTATTGTTGTATATAATACACGAGTAGTGTAAAATATGAGTATTGTTGTATATAATACACGAGTAATGTAAAATATGAGTATTGTTGTATATAATACACGAGTAATGTAAAATATGAGTATTGTTGTATATAATACACGAGTAATGTAAAATATGAGTATTGTTGTATATAATACACGAGTAATGTAAAATATGAGTATTGTTGTATATAATACACGAGTAATGTAAAATATGAGTATTGTTGTATATAATACACGAGTAGTGTAAAATATGAGTATTGTGGTATATAATACACGAGTAGTGTAAAATATGAGTATTGTGGTATATAATACACGAGTAGTGTAAAATATGAGTATTGTGGTATATAATACACGAGTAATGTAAAATATGAGTATTGTGGTATATAATACACGAGTAATGTAAAATATGAGTATTGTTGTATACAATATATAAATATTGTTGTATATAATACACGAGTAATGTAAAATATAAGTATTGTTGTATGCAATACACGAGTAGTGTGGTATACAGTACAGGTACGTACAATACGTCACATGTTCAGTCTTTTTGGTTTGTTTGCTGTTAAGCACAAAGCTACACAATGAGCTATCTGTGCTGTGCCCACTGCGGGTATCGAAACCCTATCTCTTATGTTATAAGTCATCAGGCTTACTGCGGAGTCACCAGGGGGGATCGTAGTCATCTGTAATTAATATTTTTGTGTACCGACCATAAGAAGTTTGCTTGTAAAACAACTCCTGTCAAAATGTAGTTTCATCATAACGTATTGCGCTCTTCCTGAACGGTTAACATTACGAGTATATTGTCATTTATCCGGCCGCTTGGCAACTGGATTACCACGTGTAACTGAAACCATTAGACACTTAATAGATTACCAACTGACTTTTAAGTTGATTGTCCATTAAGAAGCTGACTTACTACAAGTTTCCTTCCCACGCAGTCTGATCTGACTAATACTGGTTTTATCAGCCCTCGAAAGAAGAGATAGAACAAACAAACACGTATGGTGTTCGTGTATTAACTAGAGCTGTGAGTGGTTATAAATCCGCTTCTAAACTTTTATATGTCATCGTGAATTGACAGAGTTCGCCCAACGCTACTTTTAAACTAAGATTTCATCAGTAATAACGTTAAAAATTATGAAAGAGATGTGAAGTTATACTTCTACACAACAAGTAACTGATGTGCCACATTAATTGTGTAAAGTACAGTGTTTTATTCTCTTTTTTTTTTCCAGGACTAAATCAAGACTTGTCAGATTTTTCGTGGACTCGACTAGTCATGGCGATGTTGGCTTCATTTTCCCAACACTTTGCTATAGTAGCGTATTGTAGTTTGTATAGCTGCTCGTGTACCAGCCAATCACAGAAGTTTTTGTTTTGTTTGTCAGCAAAATACTCCAACAATGAATTTAATTACAACTGTGGCTCAATTTAGTAATTAAGAAATATTAATGAATGTCATGACAATACTATTTCTTCATGTGAAGTGGATGATCTTATCGTTAGTATTGTACCGTGAATATTGTAAGACGATGGTTTTGGTTTCAGTTGCAGTAGGAAATAGCTATTTTGTTTGGTTTTTGCTAAAGTGAGACACAGTAGAAATATCGTGTATTGAGTTTCGAACCCACGATCAACACTCACAGTGTTTAGCTAGCTTAAGAACCGCACAGTCATGTGACTTCTCTGCATGACCAAAGTCGTGTCAGTTTCGAATGTTTTTAACACTAGTAGATTAACAATAAGATTTTTTATGGTGCTGAATTTATATTCATTCCAAGCATCAAATTCCAACTGCAAAACTAGCACACAAAATGAGGCTATTTTATCATTTTTCCTGTTCTATAAAATATTATAATTACACCGAAACGATAAATTTCCATGAATACTACAGGAGACTGTAACCTTGTGATTATTTTTTTACGATAACTCATTAAGCCTCTCATCTTTATAAAATATTAATAATGATAATAATGTTGAAACAGTTTCTGATTTTTACAATATCATCCAATCTTGTAGAACTGGTTTTATCAAGCTAGAGTTTTAACCAAGATTGTTTATCATTCTGAACAACAAACACTTTCATTAAGCCTCTTATCTTTGTAAAATATTAATAATGATAATAATGTTGAAACAGTTTCTGATTTTTACAATATCATCCAATCTTGTAGAACTGGTTTTATCAAGCTAGAGTTTTAACCAAGATTGTTTATCATTCTGAACAACAAACACTTTCATTAAGCCTCTCATCTTTGTAAAATTTTAATAATGATAATAATGTTGAAACAGTTTCTGATTTTTACAATATCATCCAATCTTGTAGAACTGGTTTTATCAAGCTAGAGTTTTAACCAAGATTGTTTATCATTCTGAACAACAAACACTTTCATCGTCAGCTGTACGTTAAAGAATAAACGTGTGTGATAAATGTGACTATCTTTAGTTAAACCTCAGTATTTCTGTAGGTGGTTCTCCTTCATCACCAAAATATGCTACTAGGTGACGCTTCGTTATCAACCGTTTAACCAGTTCTGAATCTATCATGTAAAGGGAGAAACTGGGCGTTGTCAGAAATAAGAACTTTGTCAGTTGAATCACTAATTAGAATCTTGTGACTTCCAACATTATGGCTCTCTCGACTGGTTACCTTCTGACGTTTTATAGTGCAGTTTTCTACACTGATTACATGGTGACACTTTACAGTACAGTCTTATAGATTGTTACATGGTAACATCTTACAGTATACATCTTTACGCTGATTACATGGTGACGCTTTACACTACAGTCCTCTAGACTGTTACTTGGTAATATCTTACAGTATATGTCTCTACACTTGTTACGTGGTGACGCTTTACAGTACAGTCCTCTAGACTGTTACATGGTAATATCTTACAGTATAGATCTCTACACTGGTTACATGGTGGCACTTTAGAGTACAGTTCTCTATACTGTTACATGGCGACATCTTACAGTACATTTTACTTTACTGGTTACATGGTAATACTTTATAATACAGTTATCTAGACTTGTTACATGGTGCAATCTAACTGGTTATATGGTGGCTATTAACAATACAGTTTACTTGACTGGTTATATGGTGTTATCTAATAGGATAGTTCTGTCGACTGATTATATGGTGGATTCTAACAATATAGATAACTTGACTGATTATATGGTGACATCTAACTCTGTAGTTGACTTGACTGGTTACATGGTGACATCTAATAGTGTATCTCTCTCGACTGGTTATATGGTGGTAAGTATCAATACAGTTTACTTGACTGGTTACTTGGTAATATCTGCTAGTATAGTTCTCTTGACTGGTTATGTGGTGGCTATTACTAATACAGTTTATTTGACTGGTTATATGGTGACATCTAACTCTATAGTTCTCTCGACTGGTTATATGGTGGCTTCTAACAAAAGAGTTTATTTAATGGTTACATGGTGGCATCTAAAAGTCTAGTTCTCTCGACTGGTTATATGGTGGCTTCTAACAAAAGAGTTTATTTAATGGTTACATGGTGGCATCTAAACGTCTAGTTCTCTCGACTGGTTATATGGTGGCTTCTAACAAAATAGCTTATTTAATGGTTACATGGTGGCATCTAAACGTCTAGTTCTCTCGACTGTTTATATGGTGGCTTCTAACAGTAGAGTTCTCTAGACTGGTTATTTATATGGTGGCCTCTTACGATGATTTCTTAATCCTAGAAAGAACTTTTTCCATATTAATTAGAAGAATGCGAGTGTCCTCAAGTCTACATCTTCATATTATTTTTGTGGTTTAATCACGATTTCGATTGACTACATAACTTTCAACCTACTTAATAGAAAACACAACATTCGAGAAGTGTTCCAACGTTCAAGGAAAGCTTCATGCAAAGAAATCACGTGAGGTGAATACGTCAGATTAAATGTTTACAGTGGTAGTACAAAACATTATTTTTAGCATTCCATGTCATATTCGTTAAGAAGCACGAGCTTTTTTGTGTAAAGATATGTATTTGCAATTACGCTTAAGCTTTTGGAATATTCTATGTAGGGTTAACACTTGAAGCACTTTCATGTGTATCTCATGTTTTTTGACATCAGATGTGAAAGACCAAAGTTATTGTAGAATAAGATGACCCTGTCTATGTGTAGTAATTGTTAGTATTTTAGTTTAATTTTTTTATGTTAACTCATGAAATCCCACGATTTTTCTCCGAAGACGTTTCATTCTTTGGTGAATTTAACGATTTAGGACTTGTATGTTATTTTTTACTTGTGAAATATGCAAAAGAATTTGACTCATTATTTAGACTCGTTGAAAACTTCACAGAGATCCTCTTTTGTGTTTTAAAATATATTCTGGAAGATTATAGAGTTATTAATTACAATGCTTTCCAAAAAGTGAAATCTGAGACCAAATAAGATTCGAACCCGTGACTTTCCTTTTCTCTAAACAAGTAAGATGAGACCGTGTGTCCGATAAGCAGAGTCGTGGACTTGAATCTCGGCCGTTCTCGGTTTTCACTTCATCAGAAAATTTGATAACTTTATAGAGTGTTATACTGCCCATAAATTTCTCTTTTCTTAACCCTTAATAATATTTACTAATGCTTTAACTAAACATCCAACAGTATCTTAGTAGAAATAGCTAAGTTATGAAACGGCAGCGTTTTAGCTGTTTTTACATTTTCAGAACAACAACAAAATCAAACATTTTATTTGTTTCTTTCATTGACGGATATTTTTAGCGATCAAGTTGATACGTCGTCTCTTTAGATCCCATTTACACAGCATTTTTTTGGTTAAAGCGCCGTAAGTCTAACTCTGCTGATCAGGAATATAACTAATTATGTGGTGATTTGGTTCCGTTGCTAATTTAAGGATATTTCTGAAAGGAAGAGCTCAACTTTAGTGTAAGATTAGCTGAAATTTTGATTCAACCCGATCCAAGAATTGTTTAAGCTTGAAATGAGTTGAAAGTTTGCTAGCGTTCAATTTTTACCAACTCCTCAACATTATTGACCAACTCTTCAACATTATTGACTTCGAGTGGGCTAAGCCTAATTTTTAACAGTGTATCGAGAAGTTTTCTTAATTTTTCTGTATCTTAGCAGGAAAATTAATCATAGATTACTTATTTATAACGTCACTAAGAGAACAGTTTTTGTCTATTAGGTGCATGGCTAGAACACTAAAATGTTAGGGGGGGTCTTTTTTAAAAACAACATGTGGACCTTTTCTGATACACAGGAAACTTAAGTGACTTACGTGAAAGTCAGAAGCTAGAAGACCTTTCAGACTTTTCAGAATATTGGGGGGGTCTTCGACTCTTCTTTCCCCTCTTGGCTATGTCCCTGCTGTCAGTAACTCCCTTAGAATTAATCAAGTGTCGAGGAAATAAGGAAATGCTATATTCCCAAGTCGTCTCTTTGTTGTACAGTTGACTCAAAACGGAGGGTGCTGTAACAGAATCAGGGATATTCCTGTATAACTAAGATAATTCTTCTTTTTATATTGGGGCTTGTTACACGTGCTTTGGATTGCTGAAAAAAAAAACCTCGACAAAAGTGGATACATTTATACCATAACGGCAATTAATGTCTTAAAGACAATATTAAAAGTGAAAATAGAATTTGCAACAGAACCATCTCTTAGAACATGGGCTGGGGGCGAACCATGCCTTTCTCAGGTTCACAAAGAACATGAGCCAGAGGCGAACCATGCCTTTCTCAGGTTCACAAAGAACATGGGCTGGAGGCGAACCATGCATATCTCAGGTTCACAAAGAACATCTTTACAATTTTCCTGTTCATTCTTTAGTTGAATGCTTTCTTTCCGTCATGTTTTAATTTCTGGAAAGCCAGGTTAGAAATGGTTTAACAACTTCACCCTGTTTTTTGTAAATAAATATGTATTTAATATTTTGTTTATGAAGAAGTAGATAACCTTTTAATACACTTTTGTTTTGTATTTGGATGTTCCGTTTTATTTTCCCAGAATAAAATCAAAAATGCTTTGTATTTTTCTGAGTTGTTTTTTAACTTTTGTTCATTTGTTTCTTGATTTTTTTTTTCAGTTAAGCAGTTATAACAGCTGGAGAGTTAAATTAATTGTTGTTTGAAGTGACCAATAAAATCCGTTGTTACATGAACTGCCCATTTAAATCAGCGAATTAAACCAATGATACCAGTACTTTCACAACTATATCAATTCGATTCAAATATTTTCCAGCTTTAACTAATTTAGCTACGAAGTTCACACAGTTCTCATAAGCAAGGTAATATTATAAATTAAAGGTTACATATGATTTGTGTAGACTCTGATCGACACAGTGTTTAGTTTAACAGGGATTCTGATCGACACATTGTTTAGTCTAACAGAGATTCTGATTGAATCTTTATTTAGTTTAACAGAGACTCTGATTGATACATTGTTTAGTTTAACAGGGATTCTGATCGACACATTGTTTAGTTTAACAGAGATTCTGATTGAATCTTTATTTAGTTTAACAGACATTCTGATTGAATCTTTATTTAGTTTAACAGAAATTCCGATTGAATCTTTATTTAGTTTAACAGACATTCTGATCGACACATTGTTTAGTTTAACAGGGATTATGATCGACACATTGTTTAGTTTAACAGAGATTCTGATTGAATCTTTATTTAGTTTAACAGAGACTCTGATCGACTACATTGTTTAGTTTAACAGGGATTCTGATCGACACATTGTTTAGTTTACCAGAAATTCTGATTGAATCTTTATTCAGTTTAACAGAAATTCTGATTGAATCTTTATTTAGTTTAACAGAAATTCCGATTGAATCTTTATTTAGTTTAACAGAAATTCCGATTGAATCTTTATTTAGTTTAACAGAGATTTTGATTGAATCTTTATTTAGTTTAACAGGGATTCTGATCGACACTTTATTTAGTTTATCAGGCGTTCTGATCGATGCTATATTTAGTTTAACAGGGATTCTGATCGACACTTTATTTAGTTTATCAGGAGTTCTGATCGATGCTATATTTAGTTTAACAGGGATTCTGATCGACACTTTATTTAGTTTATCAGGAGTTCTGATCGATGCTATATTTAGTTTAACAGAGATTCTGATCGACACTTTATTTAGTTTATCAGGAGTTCTGATCGATGCTATATTTAGTTTAACAAGGATTCTGATCGACACTTTATTTAGTTTAACAGGTATTCAGATATAGGAAATTTTACCCCTGCTCTCGAAGTTATACGTGTTGAGATATTCAGATTTCGCCAGCAGTAAAGGAAAAGACGATACTTTGGTGAACTATAGCCACACTGAAAGTATAAGATTCCTATCAGTCTGAAAGTCTAGGAATCCCTGGAACCCGAATCTGATAATCGTTTTCTTTATGCGGGTTAACCTGACATCATAAATGTTGTAAAACATAATTTCATTACGCAGGTGTAAACTTATAAATAATTATATCTAAGTTATTGTAGGATTCGACCCCCCCCCCTAGCTATCAGGCTGACTTATTAACCTAGTCACGTGACCACGCACATTTGATGGATAGAAACGATATTCAGTTGAACGTATAGGAAGAGTGTCTTAGAAAGCACACCGTAATAAAGGTTGAATTTGTGATTTAAGATTTGTGAATCGTATAAACTAAGTCCAGTTACTTGTGTCCAAGTAGAGGAAGGAAGAAGGACTAAACTTGTATGAAAGAAATAATGACAATATCCCCAGAACTGTGTAATCGTGGGGAAAGTAATTAATTCGAAAATACAATAACAGCAACTTTTACAGTAGGTAGGTTCTTATTCTAATAATAATAACGTGTCGACTCATTAAAGATAAACAATATTATGGGTCGAAACGTTGTAATTATTAAAATAAGAACCCGCCTTCTCTTAAAGATGCTATTATCGTATTTTGAATTGTTACTTACCAAATATTAATGCCTTCTCTTAAAGATGCTATTATCGTATTTTGAATTGTTACTTACCAAATATTAATGTAATTGATTGCTTAGATTAATCCAGCTTATTATTGAAGAGATCAATGTAATACTGAGTAAAAGAATAATAAAAAATATTAACTAAAATTTATCACTTCTTGGTTTTGCGCATGTTCAGAACTAATATATAACCTTCATCAAAACACGCATTCCATTTAAAATGAAAAATATTCTTTACAGGAATGAATTTGAAAGTTATACGTGTGTTTATATGTGATGAATAAATTCAATCTCTCCAACTTAATGATCTAACCGACTTAGTAGATTATATCTCAAAGAGAACATCTTTTTTTTATGTCATTGTCCAGGCTACTGGAAAGATGATGACCGGTCAATATACAGGTGTTTAGAAAAATATTGATGGAATTTTACTTGTGAATAAAGTTTGGTGATGTGTTTAAACTGAAGCTTGTTTGTTTTTTCAACTTGTTTTTGGCGTAAATCTGAAAGAAGACAAAAGCTGTCGATGTGACATCACCATTCAGTTCTTTGGAAATATGGAAAACATCCGCAGTATCTTTTACAATAAAAAAACTTCTTATAAATTCTGAGTATAAAAGATCATGTCACCTGAGAACACGAAGTTCAGCCCAACAGTACTAACAACAAAACTCTAAACATAGCCTTGCAAAATCTAGTTGAAAAACATGTAACTTTGTTTAATAAACTTGATAATAAAACCTGAAAATTAGTTTTGCAAAATGCACACGAAGAACACATAATGGCACTGATAACAAAATTATAATAACAGTTTTGCACAGTCCACACGAAGAACACACAGTTTCACTGATAACAGAATTATAAAAATGTTTTGCAAATTATACACGAAGAACACAAAATTACACATAATAATACTAATAAAATTACAATAGCTTTGCAAAACCCCCACGAAGAATGCAGAATTGCATATAATAGTACTGATAACAAAATTGTAAGAGCAGTTTTAGAAAATCCACACGAAGAACACATAATAGCACTGATAACAGAATTATAAAAATAGTTTTGCAAAATCCACTTAAAGAACACACAATTGCACATAATTGTACTGATAAAATTGTAAAAATAATTTTGCAAAACCCATTGGAAAAACACCTAATAAAATTAATATAAAAAACCTGAAAACACAGTTTTGCAAGTTCTATCAGAAGAACACACACTTCTATACAATAGCACTGATAACAAAACAGTAAAAATAGTTTTGCAAGTTCTATCAGAAGAACACACATTTCTATACAATAGCACTGATAACAAAAAAGTAAAAATAGTTTTGTAACACCCATTAAAAGAACACATAACTGCGCCTAATAATATTGCTAATAAAACCTTTAAAATAGTTTTGTAAAAAAAGTCATATACTGAGATCATACAGTATAATTGCAAATTAATCTTTTAACTAAATGCTAAGTTGATGCAAAAATACAATGTATTGAAAGTATAATCACTAAATATTTGTTTCTTTAGAATATATACCAATCAATAGGGATAGAGGTGTCAGGCTTCACTATTGGTTACGTATTATAAAATATATATACTAATTAATAGGGATAGAGGTATCAGGCTTCATTATTGGTTACGTATTATAAAATATATATACTAATTAATAGGGATAGAGGTATCAGGCTTCACTATTGGTTACGTATTATAAAATATATATACTAATTAATAGGGATAGAGGTATCAGGCTTCACTATTGGTTACGTATTATAAAAGATGTACATATATTCAGCTTCCTAGGTTTGTAGATCTTACCAAGAACCAGGTGCTTCAATCTTACGTAAACCGATTCACAACAACTAACATATTTTCAGAAAGCCCTCTTGCGGATAAAAGCGCATTAACACTATTAGCAGTGAGGCTCATTCACGTTAACTAACATATTTTCATAAGTTCCTCTCGCGGATAAAAGCATATTAACTCTGTTAGCAGTGAGTCTGATAATCAGATATGAAAGCATTATATAATTAAAGAGGGCAACATTCGCGGACGAATGCAACATGTCTCCGCTAAGCAATCCCAACATGGCAATCTTGGAAACTAGAGAAATCATGGAAAACATAAAATTCAAAAACTCTCTCTATATCACTGCTTACAGAAAAGTATCTTTGTACCAAATCCTATGTAAATTGGTCGAAACAAGGCTAAGTAATTGACCAAAACCCCAAAAATGATGGGTTTCTTTAACCTTTTGACCCTCTCCTTAAATGACCAAAAATGGCGAGCCATTGAAACGTGTTTGGAAGAAGAAGAAATAATAGAAAAACTGCATATCTCTCTGTGGAGACATAATAGTGGCGCTTCGGTGTCAGAGAGAGAGCTTTATTTTCTTAACAAGCACATGCAACTGTTCGTTCACTGACAGTACTATTACCAATAACAAGCACATTTCCATGCAACTGTGAGTAATTTTACTAGCAGCATAACGTCCTACTTCTGGACTTACACACTATGGATTTTACTGGAAGCATAACTTCCTACATTCTTAACTTACACATTATGACTTTTCAATATTTAGCTTACCAAGAAGTAAATCTACATTTAGTCCAGAAAAGATGTCGTTTTGTTAAATAAACACACGTTACACATGGGGCTAAATATTACCATTAGTATTTAGTGGATCTGCCCTTTGGAATGTTTAAAATAAACACACGTTACACACAAGGTTAAATATTACCATTAGTATTTAGTGGATCTGCCCTTTGGAATGTTTAAAATAAACACACGTTATCCACAAGGTTAAAGATTACCATTAGTATTTAGTGGATCTGCCCTTTGGAATGTTTAAAATAAACACACATTACACACAAGGTTAAATATTACCATTAGTATTTTGTGGATCTGCCCTTCGGAATGTTTAAAATAAACACACGTTACATATCGTTCCCAGAAGATCTGAAATCTGGGTCTGTGGGATTGCACCCCACTCCCGGCGAAGAACTTCGCTGAAGTTTTTTTGGACTTGTTTCTAGAAGTTGGGTTGTTTGGGATAGTTTGGCAGCGAACTTTTAAGGATAGATCAC